CCACGATAAATGAGTCCGGAGGATTAGCTAAACAGTGGCTCAAAAATGTTATTATATAGCTGGCATGAATATTCATCTACCGGTTGAACCGCGCCGTTCCGAAGCTTTTAAAACGTGTTTTTCAACGCGGCGTGCGCTACTCGTTCGTTCGTGCGCACCTTTGTTTCAAACGCGGAAAATCGTTTTGACATAACTCACTTTTCCAACGGCTTAACCGTACGGAATCGAACGGAACGTTAAGGTCTATGACGATTCTTTGGGTTTTGGTTTTTCGTTCGTTTCAATGATGGAAAATTTTGAATAAAAGTCGAAGGAAGGAACAGAACGAAATGAAACGGAACGGAACGAAACGGATTGATGAAAATTCAACTTTTTCGAAATTTATCAACGTAAGGTTAGGTATATTGCGGTGAACGCGCGTTTAAATGAAACGTGTAGAACATAGCCACGGTAATTGCCTGAATGAATCTCGAGGAAAGAAGGATGGCCAATAAGGAAGGGCACGTAGAAGGCGTGTCGGTCGTTCACGTAGATTACTCCAGGATTGATATTTTACTCCGTTGGAAATTCACCGCCAGGATATAAAGTAAAATGATTATGAAATGAACGTTAAATGTTGAAGGAAGAAAACGATTTTGAATTCGCCAAGTTGTTTTAATAAAATCTCTCTCAAAAAAAAAAAAAAGGAAAGGACGTGTTTACGATCGAACGGATTTTGACTTATATTTCTCGATCATTTTAATCATTGACGAACGAAACGACAATGTTTTTATACGCGGATAGATCCAGAAAAGGGATTACGATTATACGAAGCTCCGTGTTACTACGTCCGATCACATTTTAAACGTGTCCGTGATAAACCAAAAACTATTAGGCATTAAACATTATTTCGCCGTATAAAGGGAACAACAGTATAGGGAACAACTACTGTGTCATATCCGCGACGTATATAGGTACGTATATATATATATATATATGTATATCCAAATTCGTGGAAGCGTTAAATCATGCTTGCGCACTTTGTCAGGAGGAAGCTAATATGGTGAAATATCGAAAAGTGTGATTAATTAAAAGGTACACTCGTTAAGCGGGATTACACGTGCGATTGATATTTTTGCCGGGACGTTCGGTAATCGCGTTAACGTGGCCGACGAATTTAATTTGCTTTTCGTTGGTTCGACGCGGCTACGTTAGCGGTGGCGGTAGTATCGACGGCGGCGGCGGTGGCAGTGGCGGTGGCGGTGGCGGTGGCGATGGCGATGGCGATGGTGGTGGCGGTGGTGGCGGTGGCAATGGCAACGGCAGCAACATCGACGGCAGCGTTAGCGTCGCTGGTGGTTAACGTGGCGCGAGCCATTCGCTCGATTCCGCACCGAGCTACACACCGTGGATTGATTCGGACTGAATAATAAGTGGGTAGAGGAACAGGGAAGGTGCAATAATTAGCGCCTACATTGCAGACTCCGCCCGTCCCATCGCTCTTCGCGCGTGGATGCACGCTTCGCGAGCCGTGCTTTTGATTATGCAGCCTACTCCGATCGAATTTGCGATAGCTTCGGACCGTGACCAAGCGAGATATCGATGCCTCTTAATGCCTTCCTCCTCGATCTCGTACACCTTTCAACGTATTTCGCGATTAACTATTTCTTTCTTTCTTCTTTTTTTTTTCTTTTCTTCTTTTTTTTTTCTTCTTCTTTTTTTTCTTTTCTTTTCTTTTTTTTTTTCTTTTCTTGATTCGACATATCAATTTACACGATGCAGTTATTTACGATCGTTTGTATAATATATTTATGGACGATTGTGTCTTTAATGTCGTCAGTTTTTCTTTAACTCCGAAATTGTGATATATACGCATCGATTAATCGCGATTTCTCATTATCGAAATTTATGAGAATTTTTTCACAATGTTTAGAAATTATAATATATATATATATATATATATATATATATATATATATATATATCGTTTGAAATATAGATTTTAATTATGATATTTGGCGATGTTTATACATAGAGTATCCCAAAAGATTTGATCGATATTTCAAAATCGTATCTAAGATATCTCGTTGAATCAAATCTTTTCGGACACCTTGTATGACGTGTAAAGTACATATATCGACTATTGTAAATCGCATATTACGATCAAATAATAATTGTACAATAAACCTAGTTTAACGAGTCTCATATTTTCTTACAGCTTCATCTTCTATTTGTTTACTTTTCTTTTCTTTCCTTTAAGTAAGAAACAACGTGGGAAATCTAGAGTCGCAAGAAAAATCATTTCTCGATAATAAGAGGATAGGAAGAAAAAAAAAAGAAAGGATTCGTTGATGGTACTGGCAAGTAGCTAACAGTAGTAGCAGCAGCAGCAGCCGGTCCGAGTACTTCGATAACGCGATAAGGCGAGGTTAAACCCATGTTTGGCGGGCAGGTTATAGGTTAAACGGTGAGCTAGGGGGTGCAACAGGTCGCGTGAACTTGGGTGAATTTTCTGTTCCAGGGCGCGCTGCCTGGCCCTCCGAAACCCCCCTTCGGTCCCTTCGCCACGCCATCATTAGTCAATGTCGACGCTTGTAGCACATGGAGCCCCGCAGAATGCAGCATCTGCCTGATATCCCCTAGTATCTCTCTCCTACAAATCTGTGCCACGGATCCTGCCGCAAAGTCACTCAAGCCATCGTATATTCCTCTCGTACAAGGCATCTTTCTAGTTTTGTTGATATTTCTTATGGATTAATAATCAGGTTTGTTTTTCTTCATCTTAGATTTCTTTTTACTTTTCTCTTTTGTTTTTTTTTTTATTTTTTTCCTCTTTCGTTCGGATCCTCGTATATCTTAATTTTAAACCTTGAGGATTTTAAGCTTTCGTAAAATAGGCACCGATCTTCGTTCATTAATAGAAACTGTTTTTAAAGTTTACAAATTTTTACAAAAGAAATAGATATTTTTAATCATAACGGGACGACTTTCGTATAAAAGTTACTTAACTCAATTTATTTATAAATTTTATTTTCAGGTATTATTTTTTTATTTTTTTATTCTTTTTTTTTTATTTTTTTTTAATATGACAAAATCAAATATGTAATATTAGTTGGCTCAGGGAATACATACGTATCTTCTTTCTTTCTCTCTTTCTCTCTCTCTCTTTCTCTCTTTCTCGAGTCTGTTCTCTCTGTGAGAACTTCTCTCGTCGTTGTTTATAAACAAATCCTTCTCATGTCCTTCTTGACTCACCAAAATACGCTTTGGGCTAAAGCTAAAGCTTTGAACGTTCTCGAAACAATATTGTGGTAATATATGTTTGTACGTTGTTACATCAAGCAGGATCGTACGACAGTGTAACAATGAATTGAAATATTTAATATTATTCAATCTTATGATTATTTCGTATATGACGTTTTGAGAGATTGGAAGACAAAGTGACGTTGTCAAAGAGATAAGCAAAATCGATTGGGTTGTCCAGCTTTGATAAGAGAGATGACGTAGGCAATTACCGGCTTTAAGAAAACGAGTTGGTTGTGAGAATTGGGAAGCATGCGCGCGCACGCTCACGCGATGGAATCACGAACGAAATCGTCGTCGTCGTCGTCGTCGTCGTCGTCGTCGTTTCTGCGACGCGAAGGGATGAAGGTAGAAAGGTGGTGGGAAGGAGAAGGAAGGGTTAGCACCCGCAGAATTTAGCCAGCCCTCGCCCGGTCGAAGAACAAAGCTTGATTTATTGTAATGAGTTTGCAGGAGTTAAGAGGTCTGCCTCTCCTCGTGCTCGTCCCTCCCCCTCCCCCTCTGTTCTCTCGGCACTCGGCTCGATATTCAGACTGGTGCGGTTTGATGGGGATCCTCGGATCAACCCCCGTCATAAACCCTTCTTAGCGGCGGCCACCCTCGTAACCCCCTCTGAAATATGCATGAACCCCCTGCATACTGATTGCGTTATTTGTATCACCTACGAAAAGTCACCACAAAATCGTGTCTGCATTCGTCCTGTGTGTCTCGTTTCTCGATGCTCGCGAAAGGGAGAGAAAGAGAGATAGAGAGAGGGAGAGAGAGAAGAGAGAGAAAGAGAGAGAGAGAGAGAGAGAGAGAGAGAGAGAGAGAGAGAGAGAGAGAGAGAGTCAACGAGAAGGCTTTGAAAAGCATTCTCTTCTCTCTTCTCTCTTCTCTCCATTTGGCTCTCTCGTTTTCTTCGCTTTTTGGCCCTGCTATCGGTCTCACAAAGGATAGAACCACGCTCGAAAATGGCGACGATGTTCGAGGACGACCGCATTGTGCTTTAAGAAAATTTACGACGTAAGTACTTATCGATCCTTCTTCTCCTCTCTTCCTATGATTCGGTTTTACTCTCTTATAATAACGAAGATAGGGCGCGTGCGTGTTCGATATCGCCGCTTGGTTAACGTCCTTGGAAAATCTAATTTGAAAATTTCCCGAATAAATGTATGGTTGATTTTAATTTCAATCGACCGTATGGGAGGAAATACCAGGATTGTTTCGTAAGGTCGATTTTACGTTTGCAATTCGTAATTTGTAATTTTGCACATATCGCATTTACCGATAAAATACATAACGCATGATCGAATCTCCGGCCGATTACCGAAATGTAATCTCGATGTTCAAAGTTTATATTTACATTTGCCGAAGTAGTATAGCTTCCCCGTATAGATACGACGAAATATAGATCTTATTCTAGATTCTTGTTGCAATGGCGGGCGTGAATATCCATCAAGAAATCGAACTTCGTTTGTTCGCATTTTAGTCTCTTTGCGAACGTGTTTCCGATCGGCGATCATCGATCATCATGTCATCTTGTCAACGTGTTTACGTAGTTCTTGAAGGCGTATCTTGTGTTTGCCAGAGCGAAAGAAAGACCGATTGATGTTCGACATATGACAGTGATGGATCAGAACATTATTTCATAACGTTAGATAGCTTTCAATAAATTGATAGCTATAATTATGTGTTAGATGTCTTCGTGGAATAATCAAAATCAATTACGAAGTGACTATGTTATATGGGAATATTATAACAATTATACAATTTATTTCTTTCGACCGAACAAAACGTGTAATTAAAAACGTGAAATAGCATTGATAACGCAGGTAATAATATTGGTAAGGACACAATGGAAATAATTTGAATCCTTTTTCCTTTTTTTTTTTTCTTTTTTTTTTTCTTTTTTAAAGAAAGGTTAATGTAAACGATAGATTGGAAATTATAAACGCAAATAGTCGACGAACGGAATGATCAGAAATTTCGCGGTGAATTTCATGGTAGCAATCGAAAAGGAAAAAGGAAAGGAAGAAGAGAGAGGTAGAGAGAGAGAGAGAGAGAAAGAGAAAGAGGAGGAGGAGGAGGAGGAGAAAGAAGAAGAGGAGAAAGAAGAGTAGTAGAAACGCGAGTAAACGTTGAAGTTTTCACGCAACAACATCGATCATTCCAGCAATAGGAGCAGCAACGTGCGGCGCATTTTACGAACGACGAAAAGCGTAAAAAATGGCGGGCGATTTTGCGAGCTGTGGAATAGGGGTGAGGCAACACAGAGTGAGTTAGAGAGAGAGAGAAAGAGAGAAAGAGAGAATGTGTGTGTTAGAGGGTGGAAAAGGGTAGCGGATCGTTCGACGGAACGCTCGTCGGAACGCATCGATTCTCTGCCGAAAACGCTGAATTCATTGCGAATTGACGGGGGAGCCATAACTCCCGTCTCGGTTTGACATTAATGCCTCCCCTACTTCGTGCCTCGCAGATAGGCAAGGGGGTTAAGCTTACTGCGACATATTTATGGAGAGGGCGAGATGCTATCGGCTACCCCAGACTCCGAGTTTACCCGATCCCGCACACCCTTCCTACGATCTACTTCGCAATTATCGAGCTCGGCGTTAATATTTGACCCAGGGCCATCCTTCTGGCGTTGTTGTTCCTGTTCTCCTTCTATCGCGAAAGACGCGACCTTTGCTTTCGCGATCTTTATCACGTGAATGTAAATTCTCCAAACGAGAATATATTCGCTCTTTCAAATTTGTTGACTATTGTAGAGATTTTAGAGACGATGAGAAACGAGGAAGAAGAGTAACCAAAAGAACTTAGGTAATTTAGGGATGAGCCGAAGAAATAACGTTCGAAGGATCATCCCGGTGAAGGAACCATTTGGACGACAAACGACCTTCGTTAGAGATTGGTATAAGGAATAAGAGGAGGACCTTGTGGTGGATAGTCCTTGGATGAGATAGTCCGTGTAGGAATCGCGACGGTCACGTAGGATCGAGAGAAGAGCGTTAGAAGCATAGGAGGGGTCGAGGTGCGTGTAAATTAAAGGCGTCATAGATTTTCGCGGTAGCCCGCAGGATCAGGGCCTTAGATTTGCGTCCGGCAGATTACCCCGGGGGTGAAATGGGACAATGGGCGTTAGTCTGGGCCGACGGCGTATAAATAAGGATCCCCAGGAAGCTTCTAGGTGAACGAAGAGGTGGAGGAGGAAACAGGCGGAGGAGATGCTCCTCGCTTGGTAGCGACGCGCTAGAGAAAGCCAGGCTAGTGCTGAGACTGGGCGGCCGTCCATCTTGGCCGTCGCCGTGGCGGTCCTTATCTGCGCTCACAGCTCCGCTACTAGACGTCCGGTGATCTAGGGCACTTCTCTCTCTCTCTCTTCCTCTCTCTCTCCCTCTCTTTCTCTCTTCTTGCTTCTCCTACTACCTTACGCCATCTTTCTAACCACTTCTCGCTCCACGGACGCCAGGTACCTTTCCACCTTAATTATACCAACTTGTGACTATGCGAGTCCTAACCTTCGCATCTTTTCTCCACTTTAAAGTGGTACTGTCTCCTCTCCCTCCCTCTCTCTCTCTCTCTTTCTCTCTCCCTCTTTCTCCATCTTTCTCTCTCTCTCTCTCTCTCTCTCTCTCTCTCTCTGACTTTTCAGAAGCAAGACGTTACTATCCAGCCGTTCTTCAAAAACTTTTGAGAAAGAATTCCTCTCTAACTAAGAATTTTTTCCTTATCAAAGTATATTCCATATGATATTTTTCTTCTTTGATATCTTCGAGCATTATCAAGCAGGATACTGGCGACCAACGAAACGAGATCGGAGAATAATCAAGCGTACGTTCAGTTCGTTGGTGTTACCAGAATGGGGCTTTTATTTAATGCCCTTCATACGAATCGCCGGTGGACAGGACGAGGGCGCATCTGCATTCAGATTAGCATCGGACGCACCGGCAGATATTTACGAGCCTGGCAGGACATGCCGAGTACGGCTTGGACTTCTATCTCTCTCGCGTCCTCGGACTTCAGGAGAAGGTTGGCTTTGCGGCACCGGACCTCGTACGAACCAACGACGACGACGACGACGACGACGACTACGACGACGACTACGACGACGACGACGACGACGACGACGACGACGATGAGAAAGAACGACGACGACGACGACGACGACGACGACGACGACGATGTGGTTCTGCCAGCCATTTGCCCGACCGACCGGCCGTCCATGTTTTTACGTATAAAACTGCCCTTGACCCTTCACCCGTATAATGAGCCACCGGCAATCCATTATTCATAGGATGCGTCTTGTCTCTCTGCTCCGAATCTACGCTCGTAACTTCCCCGTTACATCGTTCGCCCCGTGCGATTTATTTTTCGGTGGTACGAGGAGTGGGGTGAAAGCGAGAGAAAGAGAGAAAGAAAGAAAGAAGAGCGATGGAGAATGAGAGAGAAAGAGAGAGAGAGAGAGAGAGAGAGAAAG